TTTTTGTTTTTTTTAATAAAACAAAATGACAAGAGTATAAAGCTGAGGCAGGGCCATGTAGAAACTGTGCCCTCTAGACTTTTGGGTTTTTGGAACATAAGATAATCCAATACAAGTAGTGTTAATGTATTACTAATGGATGTCGCCTCCCAATAGTAATGGTAAAATATCCAAATTCACCCCAAAGCATAGTGGCAGGGATGGATCCACCCTCGAACAAAAAATGAAGACAAATTCATCCACAAAGTTTTCAACTTGGACAAATCACCTCAAATTTAACGTGTGACGTCATTTGACATCAGCAATTCGTTAATTCGTTAATGGATTGCTGACGTCAGATGTCGTCAAATTAACAGATTGCCGATATCAAATGACGTCACACGTTAAATTTGAGGAGATTTGTCCAAGTCAAAAATTTTGTGGGTGGATTTGTCCCTGTTTTTTGTTCGAGGATGGATCCGTCCCTGCCACTATACTTTGGGAGTGGATTTGGATATGCTGCCAATAGTAATTGTTTCACGGTCTGATATGTTAAATTTTAAAATAATATTAATAATATTCTTTCAAAAATATAATACAATTTAAATTATATTAGATTGTTTGATATAATTAACTATAAAACATTAAAATTTATAATAATATTAATAGTATTATTATTTAAAAAAGTATAATATAATTTAGATTACATTAAACTATATTACATTAATTATTGAATAAATCTTTTATAGTCGTCTCTCATTAATCATACTTATTTTATAATTCAATACCAATAAAATAAGTACTAGTTATTATTTTTAAAACACTAATTAAATACCTATTCTATTTTGTTCCTTCAACTTCTATTTTTAAATCAAATCTATGCTTCAACTTTAAAAATATTAAAATTTTAATTTTTGAGACAAAATTTAATCCTTCTGTTAATTTTTATTTTTTTAGCTAAGAAAATTGGAGGTAAGGGAGGGGAATAGAGACAAGGGGAATCGAATTCAAATGATATGAGTGAAAATCATATAGTAATAACTTAAATCACATACTAAAGTTATAATCTTTTTATTATTTTTTTTAATAAATTAAAATTATTTACATATATTAATTGAGAAAAAAAAATTTCATGAAATTTGAATACATTATTCACAAAAGAGGAATGGTCTTAACCCAAATTTCACATAATTGGATCGGAACTAGTTATTTTAATCCTTCTGTTAATTAAATATTGATGACGTGAAATATTTTATTAAGTAATTTAATTTTTATTAATATTGAAGATTGGGTGGCAACAAAGTAGGTGACATGGGATTTTTACATTTACATGACCGTTAAAGTCATAAACATGTAGAAACGGAACGTGAAATGTTGTTGCCTCAATAATTGCCACCCGGCTTTATTAACTCAATAGTTTTTATCCTTCACTAACGTTTGACTCTGACGTGCAACGGTGCAACCATCACGTCCCTTTCTTCACAGATCCATGGTAGACCCAGCTACCATTTTATACTACATATTTTTTTTTTTAAGAAAATAAGAAATTGTATTTCATATAACTAAATTACCATTCTTATGAATGGATCTTCAAAATCTAATGATTTATTTTTAAATTTTAATATTTAGATATAATTGATTAAGAGTTTAATTTTTATTAACTATTTAAATATTCATACTATATTTACAGGTTACCGATACATCTTTCAACCAATGAGTTAAGATCATTCTCAACTCATGGATTGAGTCCATCCCTTTTCTCTTTTCTTGTAATTGTCTTTATTAAAAAAAAACAAAAAAACTTAAAATCAGGGCATAAAAATCTAGCCTGCCTTAAAGGGGTGTTCATTTTTTCAGAACAGTGGGGTATTTTGGGCCTCTTCTTATTTTGCATACATTTTGAAACTAACATCTTTTCAATTGCCTTAAATGGGAGTTTAAGAAATGAAATCCCTTTGAAAGGATGCTTTAAGCCGTTTATTTCCCCTGGATTGTTGAAATCAGGGCACAATTGTTTTATTAAAAGGCAGATCCACTCTGCTTCTTGTTAAATAACATTGTAATGTTTGATTCTACCAAAAAAAAACATTGTAATGTTTGAGCCTTTGAGGGCAGAACTGATTGAAGATAGGGGCTTCAGCAGCTGAGAGAAGAAGTGTTGCATAATTGGAAAGAAAAGAAAATGAGTATAGAGATGTAAACAGGAATTCATTCGAAAAAGGAAGGGGAAGAATATTGGAAAGATCAGTTGAGTGTGCACAAGCCTACAAACAAACAAACAATAGAATGCAAACACAAAATTAAATTTCATCACCCCAACACAACACACACCAATCCTAGAATACCGTTAAGTTTACGTTCCTAGCAAGGGCAGTAGTTTCAAGTTTTGATTGTAACCACAAAGAGAACAACAGAATATGGTGACACACATTTTATTTACTCTTCCTTTCGTGGCGCCTGTTACAACAAGAGCAGTTGCCAAAGAAGATAATCAACACTAACATTCAACCTTAACTCATCCCTTATTTATCCTTCTCCCTTTTCAATTTATACCTAAATTTGAAGTTCCTTTGGCGTGTGTGGCACTACCTTCTGCCTCCATTTGTTAGTTTTTATTGTGTCTGTGCTCAGGTATTGTTAAGTAGAGTAGCATCCACCTTGGGAGGACCAGATTGTCTTCTCACTCCAGCTGGCGATCCGTTAAATGAGAGCCGCTTCCTGGCAGAAACCAGTGATCCCTTCTCTGGTGTCTTGTTTTTCTCTACTCCCAATGGGCTTGACAAACGAGATTTGGCTGATGCAGACCTTGTGGGTGCCATGTAGCTTGGTACTGCAGGGGAGCTGGCAAGGCTCTCATCATCTCTCACTGATGAGCCTGCAATGGTATGCCTCCTGTATCGCTCTGATTGAACACTGAGCATGCTCCTTGAGTCTTCGTCTCCACCCCAACAGCTACCTTTTGTGCTTGGTGCCTTCATTTTACTGGTAACTGATGACACAGATGCTGCATTTGAAGGTGGAGTTGAAGGGGATTGGCGGCTGGGAGGTCGGTTTGGTTGTTGGGCAGTAGGGGAAGGCTTGTTATCTTGGTTGAGATCTCTACGAGAATGAGTTCTGCTGATCTCCCGAACAGACATGGAACGACTTACCATACTCTTAGTAGAGCCACGATCATAATTATCTGTTGGATTGCGGTTCTCCCAGGGCCGAGCAGCCATCCATCGCTCTAACCAACTCCAACCCCAGTGGGGATTGTTTGGATCCATAAACGTCTGATTTGGTGATTTTGACAAGTTCTTCCACGCTTGCTGTCAGCCAAATCATCATTTGGGTTAATAAGAGTTCTTTGTGTCTATCTACAATACATGTTTCCATCATTCCACAAATAAAGTGGTGCACTTTTTGCATCGAAAATCAATAGAAGAGCAAAACTTTCTGTGGATAAAACACAAGTCTAACAATAGAGAGCGAAATACAGGAAAACAAAGAATACTGACATAAAGCAACCCAGTTGTATCCCTCCATTTATTTTCCTTCAACCGTACCCCTCCTCATTGGTTGGCTCATAAACAAGATGTTACTAATTAAAATCCATAGGAAGAGGCTGTACAATGGGGAGAATATAGTAATACCTGGTGAGAGAATGCATAAGCCAATGCCCTTTCCCTTCTCATAGCTGCCTCTTGCCTGCTCTGCTGTTTTGCTTCCACTTGCTCCTTGGATTGCGTGCTATCATTCCACTCTTCTCCCATCATCTGTTGAAGAAGTGATTAGCTTATCGATCCGTACAAATCCAACAATGTAATGTGCTTCTAAAGGCCACTTAGTGCGGAAATTTTCTCAAGAAATCAAAAAAATGAAAAGAAAAGCTGTGTACAATATTCTTCTCACATATCTTTGATAAACACATTTGAAAAGCAAGGATATTTTAGCGAAGGAAACTAAAAGAAAAGTGCAAAAGAAACGGCACTTACAGAAGCTCTCAACTTCTCAAGCTCTTTCTCATGTTTTTGTTGGAGCTGCCGCTGAAGAGCCTGGTTCTCCTCTGACATTCTAATCCTCCTTGCACGAATCTGAGACTGCACCCGAGCTAGAGTCTGCATGCATCGCAATGTTGAAGTGGCTTGCCTTTTAACATATTTCCCCTGGATCAGGGATTTCAGTCTCACCAGCCCTCTCAAAGCCCGTAATGCTCTCCTAGCCTGGGAACCACAACAGCCTTTATTATGTCATGAATACAAGTCATTGCTAGTGGATGGAAAAGTTGTGGGAGTTTATTATTATAAATCACCATGCACTGCTTGTCTTAATTGAGCAGAACACCTTTCAAGTACATCATGATGGTGATATCAATCTTTTCATACTAACAGAAAACATTAATGCGGGATAATTGAAAGCTCAAACTACTTTCAAGTCTTTAAGGGAAAGATTCAAGTTAGGTCCTCATCATTAAATTCAACAGAAACATTAAAATTTCCTTATACTTCCATGATTTAAGCAAGTTAGAGTAATAATTTGGAAATCTTGAGAATAAGAATAGAATAACTCATACCAAGTATCCACGAAATGCAGTCTGAATCTTGATAACAGCTATTTCCTCCTGTGATTTCCCAGAGTAACGTGCTGCAGCAGTGAGGCGAACAACTTCAGCAGCTGCCTGAGCAGCTGCTACAGCAGCCTCCGCAGCCGCTGCAGTGGCAAGGGCCACCGAGTATGCACGTTTGCTCTGTTCGTTTTCCGCTTCATTTAATTTTGTATCTTCAATAGGAAGAGGGGGAGGAGGAACAGGAGCAGAAACTACAGCAGTTTCTTCCACCGTAGAAACTGGAACCGAGTTCTTCTGCCTCCACAACCATTTTTTCTTCGATTTCTGGGTTTTCTAGTGAAACAAATTGAAGCACTAATTTGATTAGAAACCTCTTTTCACAGAGCCAAAGACACACGAACTGCAAAGGAGATAATAAGTTACAGGGTGAAATAACCAAACCTGATCTTTCTTTGATTCGGAGCTGAGAGCTTTCTTCACGGCAGAAAACCAACCCCCTTTTCTCCCCATCTTCTAATAAGTCATCTTCAGAACAAAGGCAAGCCATGAAAGTTTCAAATCCAAATGAAACAATGAGCACATTTTTTTTTTTAAAAAAAAGGAAAAATCTTAAGAGATCTAGCATGATGCAAATTCCACATCGTGCTCACACTTGAATTCGAAAAACAAACTAGAAAAAGAAAAAGGAAGTGCATATTAATCTTGGAAATGGAAACTAACTGGTTCATTCAAAAAGGTCAAAACTTAAAGAAAATTATGAGATTTTTGGAAAAAGATCAAACATTAACACAACATATAAACAACGCCATTAAGAAGTGCAAATGAGGAAAATTTTGCAGACCTTAAACCAGTTAAGCATTCAATCCAACAAACAGACAAAAAAAATGCAAGATCTTCATTGAAAACAGAAAACCCAGATCAAAATTTTCGATTTTGACAAACCCCATTCTGAGAAAAAGTGGTAGAGAAGGGCCACAGCATGAAAGGGAAAGATGAAAGACAAGGACAAATGCAACAGAAGGGCGTACCTGCGCATGGAATTTTCTCAGATCTTATGAAACAATAGGGGACAATTTTTCTTTTTCTCCCTCTAGAGAAGAATAAATGTCCAATGAAGAAACTGAACACGAGTCATATGAGAGCAGAAGAAATGAGAGGGAGGAAGGGAGAAGAGGAGAGAGAAAGAGAGAGAACAAAGAACAGATCTGGCCAAAGAAAGCTTCAACGAGCAAAAAATGGAAGAAAGAATAACAACTGAGGGAAGGGTAGGAGGGTAGTTGTGGGACCTTGCCTGATTATGACAACTAAGTGCAATATTGCAACGGCAACAACTACAAACAACCTTTGCTGTCTTTCAGTTAGTTTTTGCTTCGTGTTAAGGAAAAAAAAAATCCGTACGCAGTTTTCACTGTTACATTTATTCGATTAAATGAGATGCTCTGCTGTTTCACAGCATGTTACAGATTTTCACGCCTCCCCAATCATAATTTGCTCCTGTATTTTTTAAAATGTAGTACTGCTTAAAAACTACTATAAAGTCGAGAGCATCCTCCTGGTATGATGGCTATCTCTTTATAAAAGATTTTTCACGTTAAAACTAAGTGGGGTGAGATTTTAATTTTATATTTAACGTTAAAGAAAATAATAATAACAACTTACCATAAATTCTTTACTTGTTCCATGTAATAGTTTATTTTTTAAAAATTTTTATATGCGAAAATTATAATAGATTGGTTAATATAAAATTAAATTGAGAAAAATTTTGTTAAAAACACTTTTTTTTAGTAATTATTCTTTTATTTGTAAAACGTACTTAAAATTTTATTTAAAAAAATTAAACTCTTTTTATTTAAAATTATGAGGTCACTAATGTTTCATCTAATAATTTATGGTCCATAACTTGGTTTAATTCGAGAATTAGATTATACACTCCTTTTTTTTTTTTCTTGCCTTTTTTGTTTTAATTAATTGTTCACTTTGACGGGTGAGAGGAAAACGTCAAGTTGAGATAAATTATTTCCTAAAACTGATAAAAAAAATTAATGCCTAATTCGGAGCAAATTGTGGGTCAGTCGCTTATTTATTAAAAAAGAGAGTGTATCAGTATCTTGTTGAGACTTCAGCCTTGCTATGCTATAATCCATCCAAATTCAATAGCCACGGGAATGAAAGTGAGGGTGAGATGTGGATGGCGTTTAGTTATCCATTTAAATCATCTTTATGTGTATCAGAAGCTATTTAAGTGATGCCCGTGTTTTGGGTGGTGACTTTAATGGCATCACATGATACCTCTGGTCTGGTATCCGTCTCCCTTTATTCCCTTCCCTTTCACTTTAAAACCCTAAGTTGTGACGGTGACCTTCAAACTTAATTAGTATGGTACATTTTGTCTCGTACTAAAACAATAGGAAAAACATTCCCATTTCAACTAGGAAAGGTATGGAACTTCACATATATAAGGCAGCTTCAATCAAAGGCTGAAAGAAACTATTATTATTCATAGTGAGGAAACAAGGTAATCACAGAATGACACTAGGTAGCAGAAATTTAAAACCCAATTTTGGTAGAGTAATTGTAAACTTCAGAATGCATCACAGTAAGAGATTTTTCGAGTCTACGGGTTTATGGTGACAAGGAGTGAGTCACACCTTCTAAATTGTTCTAGGCATATGAATGGTGTCTATGGCGATCCTTCTCCCTTGAAGAGTAAGAGGAACTTTGATAATCACGATCTGAATCAAAATAAAATCAAGAAGAAAGTTTCAGATGTCAGAAATAAGTATTAACTGCTTGATCGGTGACTAATAATTATTTGGATTTTGGGTGAAGACAAATGCATACCACGTGATGAATGGTGTCTTAATTTCTCAGAATGACCTGGCATAGAAAATCAAATATTTGTTAGAACAGCATGCAGAGAATAGTGACGGGCAGGTAATGAACCAGTAGAAAATGCAGGATACCGAAGAACTTATGAAACCACCTGAGTCCCTCCCTCTGTCCTTGGAATGATGTGCTCGATCCTTAACTTTATCTCTATACCTTTCACTCTCGTCACGATCTCATTCCCTATCAGAATCTCTCCCTCTGTCACGATCCCTGGCCTTTGCTCTGCATCTGTCCCTCTCCCTCTCCCTGTCTCTCTCCTTGATCTTGTCTCCACTTGTCTCGGTCCTGTGTTCAGACTTGGATTTTTGCCTCAGTTCTTCTCTTGCCTCCCCATCAATAGGCTTGCTCTTTGATTCATCATCACTCAGTTTGGAATCCTTCAGCTTGTCAAGTGCTGCTTTTATCTTTGCTTCTTTGGATTCATCCGTTTCAAGTGGAGCAGACTTTGAAAAGTTGGCATCATCATTTGCAGGTGGACTAGTCTCGGGAGCCTCCTGCGACAGTCATGAAACAATAGTTCCACCTTAATAATGAGATTCCAGTATCATAAAGAGCTCATTTTTTTCCTCAGATTTAAAAGAACCATAACTGCAATTTTTTAGTTGCTACCCTTCATTCAATTGCAATGATGCAAATGCTGCTATTAGTTAGGCAAGTGGTTGTGTCACACAAACAAGACAGCAGCAGCAATCTTTTCATTCATGATGTATGCTGTAATTGAAGATTGGATAGCAATTAAAGAAAAAAAAAATTAATAGCCACATGTAACTAACGCCTGCAAAAGGGGAAAGAATGAAAACCAGAATACTTACCCTTGCAGTTGCCAGAGATTGTGAATCTCCAGACTTCGCAGAAAATGTAAATTGCTTTCTATCTTTAAGGACTGCAATATACCGTGCCTTGGGAAGGCTATACAAACGAGCCAGCACCCTGCAAACCTCATCAATCCCAGATTTTTCTGCGTCAAATGCCTTCCACCATGGTGGATTCTCAGGAAGGGGTACTTGGAACCTTCGAGCTGCAGCATATACCACCCCACAAGCAACAACCTCACTCTTGAAATGAACACATAAGGTTGTCCGCAAGCTACTCCAACAAGAATTGATATAATAGAACACATAAAATGGCAGAAAAAAGTATAAGTCCCAGTAACAGATGATAGAATATAGCAGCCACAATAAACAGGAAACTTAAACACAACAAAGCACAGTAAAAAATGCACATTAGAATGGCTATCAAACTCAAAGCAACATATTATGAATTTATGCTAGAGCATCTTGCCATCTTAAGATGATAAGCACGACGATATGGCAACAAATAAGAAATCAACTTTTTAATGCAGTCCATGACTAATTTCATATCCTGATAAGACTTTTACCATATGCATGTACATACCAATAATGCAAACCAGAAATAAAAATATACGAACAAGAAAAAAAACTAGTCATATTGCAATAGGTACCTATCATTTGCTAGATTCCATGCTTCTTGCCTCAACTCTATAGGGGTTCCAAGGGTAAGGGTGGCAAGGTAGTTCGATATAAACTTATGCGGATGTTCAACATGACAAACAAAGCCCATCTCTTTCAATATATGCCTTTCCGTTCTGCTCAATTCTGCCTTCAATTCTCCATATTTCTAAAGAATACAAAAGCCAAAACAAACTGAAGAATTATCAGTCAAGAGAATAGGCAATTAATTCTGATTTGAAAAGAAAGACAGAACCTTATAACTTGCAGAATAAGCTACGAAAAAACTGTTAAAGATTACCGTCAAAAGAAACTCATGATGAACAATGGAATCCTCTTTGCCAAATAAATAAATAAATTGACAAAAAGCCAAAGATAGTAATTACAGACTTTTAACCTTTGAGAACAGGTCCAAATGCTCTATCGGTAAGTTCTCTCTCGTACACTCCATTCTGTGGAAGATAAGGATAACTTGTTTGGCTCTTGTAGGGCTTTCTTCTAATTTTGAGGCAAGCCACAGGCTGCTAGCTGCGACAATCTACAAGAAATCATACATCCACAAGAAAATATTAAATTAGAAGTGTGCATGGTTTCAGATCAAACAGAGGGAAAGAAAGTGAGAAAAGTTCCTCAGGCAGAGAAAACTAAGGAAAATAAAATACAAAAATAATGAAAGAAAGTGATATGATAAAAGTGTTTGGTTAGACTGCATTGTTGATCTTTTCAAAAAGCAATAAAAATTCCAGAAAATTTCAGTAATTATACTCTTAAAATTCCATTTCCATAACTAGTGGGCAGCCATGGAGAAGTCCAAGGGGGAAAATAAGGTACCTTCACATCGAAACAAGCAAATGATTTCTTGCAATAGAAACGATGAAAGAGGACTTGTCCAGTAGCCATTACAGCTTGAGGTCTGTAGGTTTAGGAAAACCAATGACTACTCTGATTCTAACAAATTTAAGTCCCAGAGAGGGTTCTCTAGTTTCTGTGAAGCAGCAAAATAATGGGACTTTAACAAATACTAAAAACCAAACATTAAAACAAGAAAAAGGATACAGTTTAAGCAAAATCCCACTTTCTTGAATGAGATCACAGCCATATATTCTAAGAGTAGTTTCAGTTGCTTCATCTATGCCATCCTTCCTGGAGGGCGTGTTCTGTAGCTGCTCATCCGTTAAGTAGAAGTTATCAATAGCTGTATAGATCATTGTTGTTCAGCCGGCCCCAAAAAACTGTCAGAAATTCAGAGAAGAAAAAGGTAAATGAGTTACAGAATCAAAATTTCAAGAGACGGTCTCAGCAATTAGTAGCATAAATTGTTTCAATAGAACTCGCTAATGTCATTCAATTTAGGGATTGCAGAAAGAGAGCGACGGAGGCACCTTTGGCCTGGCGGCGCAGTTAGTTATATCTCCCTTTTGAAGACAGCGAGAAATTATCCACCAAGATTCAAGGTCTTCAGTCTTCACTGCATTTTGGCCAATTGTGTTGCTATATACAGTTATTGGCTAGGATTTTAATTTTGGGGTTTTGGCTTACAAATTCTCTGATCTAGGGTTTTCTTGGCCGAAACAATCTGAGGAAGAGGAAGAGGAAGAGGAAGAAGAAGAATGGTGAACAGGAGTGAGATGGTGGGAGGGAACGGCTCGTTTCTCCTTCGGGTATGTTAAAAAAGAAAAGGTTAAATGCCAATTTTAGTCCTGAGTTTTTAATTTTATACATTTTTGTCCCTAAACTATTTTTTTACACTTTATTAGTCCCTAAATTCTTAAAAATGCACTTAAAATTTTTTTTTTCATCAACTAATTAAATAATTTAGTGATCATCTGCTTTTATTGAAAATAAGAGATATTGAGTTTAAGTTACATGACATATGAGTGGGGTGAGATAAAGGATGAGAGATGATTGCCTCTCATTGTGCAATCAAGATAAAAAAAATTTTCTTTCTTCAATTAATAAGTTCAATGACACATGAATTTTGTGACTCCATAATTATATACTTTATTATAAGATACACCTTGAACTCTAGAACTGGGTAATCCCTCACTCCAAAAATTGTAATTTGTTTAAAATAAAAATATAAAAAATTAATCAGTTAGATCTGTTCAAATATTCCTATTTTTCAGTCTTAAGTTTAAAGCAAAAAAACGTGCATATTTAAACACACTTAATAGACTAAGTAAAGAAAAAATAAAGAAAAAAAAATATATTTTTTATAGTTTAGAACTAAATTGGCATTCGACCAAAAGAAAGTATTGATGGACCGGGCTGAATTTTCTGAAGGAACCCATTTCTTATGAGGCCCATCTCTTAAACGAACAGCCCATAAGAGAACACGGGTTTTTACTAGGGTTTATGGCGCTCAAACCTTGGTAGAGGCACAGAGACGGAAAAGGACTGGGACTCAGCCAACCATCCTTCTCCTCCGAGCTTCCGGCAGCAGCGGCGGCGCCACCACCACCACCGGTAACGGCTGCAGCACCGGCATCAGAATAGATTGAAACCAACTTGCTCTTCCTTCGGCGGCTAGCTCCTTCGATATCCTTATTATTGGCTTCTAGCTCATCAGCTGCCTGACTCGCCCTCTGCTCCATATTGAACTTGCTCCTTCAATTGGTAAACTGGTGTTTATATTATTTCAACTCATATTTCTGTTGATTTTAGCTCAATACCGAATCTATGCTGATCATAAAATATTTGAATTTGATGTTTCTTTTCTTAATGACTCATGAATCAGTTGCAATGGGAAAACTTGGTAAAAAGGCCAGGAAGTTTGCACGGAAGAATCTTCAATCTGTAATGAAAAGAAAGCGGAAATTGAATTCTATGTTCAAAAAGAAATCCCAAAAAAGTAAGTATTTTGACGTAGCTGGTTCATCCAATGTTTTTGTTCTTGCACTTTTCATAATTATCAAGTCTTCATTTTTCCTTTTTGTGCTCATAAATTTCATTTCTTTAGGAATTACTTTATTTAACCTCTTAGTTTCAATATTCATGTGAAAATAAATTGGGGTCTTAATGAGTATCATGCAACATACATCTTTATGCATGTTATGATTTCCTGAATTCCATTGATTTTCCCTTGCAAGTCTGCTTATTGTTTTTTCAGTTCTTGCATCTTCCTTGAGAAACCCCATAGATTTGAGTCTTTTTTTTTTAGTCTAATTCTGTTGAGTATGTTGATAACTCTTGGTCCAATTTCTATTCTATAGGTGATGAGCAAGATGAAGTTGAAAACCAAGAAGAAGTGAACGTGAAGCAGTCTAATGCAAGGTAAAAAGGTGATGCAACTGCATCAACTATTTGATGATAAAATTTTTTCTTTTTCCACCATCCCATATTACCATTACATCTTTTTCTCCTTTACTTTCTTATTTGGATATCATCAATATGACCTGTATGTTTTCTTTTCTTTCTTTTCTTTTTCTTTTTTGCTTCTAAATTTTTTATTAATGTAATGCCTTCACTAGTCAGTAAAATTGCATAGGCATAGTCTGGAACCACTTCTTGAATATCTAATTTATGTTCCCAGAAACACTGAAGGTGAAGGTATAGAAGATGCTTCGCTGGATGATTTATTCAGTGATGAAAGTGATGCAGTTGGAGATGATTCAGAGAGTGATGGATATTTATCTGAGGTTTTGTTGTAGATAAATTTTTCCTTTTTATTTATTTATTTTTTTGAGGAAGTTTGCTTGGGGGGGGGGGGGGGGAGGTTGATTTGTTGATGATATGTTTCTAACATCAATTATATCATTTGATGGTCAGGGATCAAACTGTACTTACATGGATGAAGATAAATTTGAGAGTCATCTAGAAGGTGAGGATCTTGTAAACAACTTTCTCTATAACAGTCTTGTCTTGTTCTTTTTTTCCCTAACTTCCTTCATTTGGTGGATACAGATGCAGACAGCAATCTTGGGAGTGATCTATCTGTTCAAAACAGGGAAATCCATTTAGAACTTATGGAGAAGATGAAAATGTTAGACAGGTTGAAGGAAAAGGTATTTATGGCATAGCATAGTCCAGTTGTTGAGTTTTTATGTACTTATTATTGTATTGTGTACATTGTATGCCTATCTTTCCATGATTTCAGATTTAATGATCTGTTTACTTAAGAATTCTTTTCTGACTCTGCAAATTTCAGGATCCTGCATTCTCAAAGTTTCTGGAAAGCTATGAGAACAGACTCAAACCACTAAGAAATAATGAGGATGTAAGTTATTTGGCTTCTCTATTTCTTCTATTGATTAGAAGAAAAAATAGATTAATCTCTAAACCACTAAGAAATACCGTGAATGTTAGTGTGCGTTTGTGTTTGTGTATATGGTGATTTTGAGCTGTGATTCCATTTAAGATTTTATTTCCCTATTGGCAGTATTCTGATGAGGATGACACTAGTAGTGAAGACATGGCTAGTGAAGGTGATGTGAATTTGAGTGAGAGCAAGGTGTTAACCCACGCTGCATTTGATTCTTTATGCCAACTTGTCAAAGAGCAGCAAAGTATATCTGCATTTACTAGCTTACTAAATGGGTATCGAGCTGCATGCCATTATGGAAATGAACCATTAGGTGTTCTAGATGTCAATACCTTCTGCAGAATTCAAGATAGCAATACTTTTTGTAAGATTTTAACCTTCGTACTTCGTGAGGCTGACAACATTTTGAAAGGCATGCTGGGAATATCATGCTCTAGTTGTAGAAAGGAGACCATTTTGGAGCTGAAGAATAAATCAAAATGGAAAACTCTGAAGCCACTGGTCAAATCTTTTTTAAGAAGTACTCTATTTCTCCTGAATCAGGTTACTGACTCAGAGATATTGGCATTTGCTCTAGTCCGAATAAGAGCTTCTGTCATATTTTTTGCTGCTTTTCCTTCTCTGCTACACCGACTCATCAAGGTATGAAATATGATGCTTAAAACCTGTTTGTTAGTTCATCTGTTTCATAGAAGTAATCATTGAGGGACATTTGTATCTGAGTTTTAAATATGATTGGATATTAATTGTGTGCATTATCCATTTATTATATAATTCAATGGTACATGAATGGAATGCCCCTGTATTTGTTATATCTTGGAATGTGGATACATGAAGGATGTGAAATCTTAGGAGCTATGGCTTAACAACACTTGAAATTGATTGCAGACTGCAGTTCATCTTTGGGCAACTGGAGAAGGGATTCTTGCATCACATTCTTTTCTAATTATAAAAGAAGTTGCCTCTGTCTTTAGCTCTGATTGCTTTGAGTTATGCTGGATTAAAATATACAAGGCTTTCCTTGGTCACTGCAAATTTGGAGATCCAGTTTCATCTAAACATTTACAGTTCCTCCGAAGCTCCTTTGTTGAGCTCTGCTCCCAAGACATGCAAATATCATCTAGCAAAGCAATGGTTTCGATCCAGCGACTTGCAAAGATACTGCAGCTTGGTCTACGAACAAAGAAGAAGGTACTTAATGTTTATGCATTGTCTTTTCAGTACTATGAAACTGAATCAGTGATATTAACCTTGTTTCCGCTTTTCTATAAGCAGGAAGCAGTCAAGAAGATATGCAGTTGGCACTACATGAACTGTGTTGATCTCTGGGTTTCATTTATATCACTGAATGTACGCGATTATGATATTCAGCCTTTGCCATATATGATCATTCAGATTATAAATGGAATGGCTCTCCTGTTTCCTGGACCTAGATATTTTCCTTTAAGACGGAAATGCATTCAGTGGTTGAATGATCTCTCTAGTTCAAGTGGGATTTTTATCCCTATTTCATCATTTGCATTGGATGTTTTAGAATATAAAACTGGCAAGGACGGTCGGAAAGCTGTAAAAGAATTCAATGTCTCTTCTATTGTGAAGGTGAGGGATTGGTGATGTTACATACTGGCATTCTTTAGTTTTCCTTCTGTTACTTGTCTGCCAGTTTTCTTGATGATTAAATAGTATGTATCATATGCTCATAGTATTTAGCAAAATTTACTATGTTTTCATCTCAACCCTAACTGACATGGATAATTATGGTACAGTTGCCCAAACATTTGTTGAAATCACGAAACTTCCCACAGGAGTGTGTATCCTCAGCCATTGAACTGCTTGCAATGCATTTTGCTCAATGGAGCTATCAAATATCTTTCCCTGAGCTGGCAACTATTCCACTCATACGCCTAAGGAAGTTCCATGAGACGACTACTGTTGAGAGTTTCCGGCGGGTAGTGAAGCGCTTTATAGATCAGGTACAAGTGCTTCTGAAATTGAAGTTTTACTACTATTATTGATGTCAATCGGCCATAAAACTTTTGGGGTACAGAGGAATTTGTTAGAAACTCCCTTTGCAGACCTTTGGGATCATACCATGAAATTGGCAACCATGTATATGCTTGACATAAAAGGTATCTAGGAAGCACAATGTTTCATAGTAAATTGCACTGGCAGCCAATCAGATCGTAGATCCTTCTCAGGGTCAACCTTTATAGATAGCGAGGGTGAATATGTACTTAGGGTAACGCCCTTTTGCTTGTATATTGTAGGTGGAGCAGAACATTGAATTTGTTCGTAAGAAGAGAGATGAGGTGGCATTTTCTCCAAAAGATCAGCAGTCTGTGGAAACGTTTCTTCAGGTTGCAGTGCTTCCTTTTCTGTTAAGTATCTATTGCTAGAATTAGAAATTCTAACTTTACTGATTTTGAGAAATTTTTTGGATGCAGCTTGAAAAGCCCAGTGGCAATGCTCCATTTACGCAATATTACAAGAGTATCATTGAGAAGGCTATTTCCAGGAACCTTATTACCAATGAAAAAGCAAGGTCCTTTTAAACTCTTATATGTCTCTTGAATCAATTTTATGCGTCCATATAGAAGCAAGTTATTTTGTTCTGAAATTTTTGAAACTTAACCGTGTATAATCCATTTTCTACCTGCAGTTTCCTCAACCAGAAATCAAAAGCAACAAAGAGGAGACAGCTTCCAAATAGTACAGCGCATGTTGATAATGGAAAAGAATTTTCAGAGGAGAGAAACCTAGATATGCTGGTTGTAAATGGAGATGTAAATAGGGAGAAGAAACAAAAGACATAAGAAGGGCAATGCCTTCTAACAGCCCTGGTTAACTACATTAAATGTAAGAGTTACTCCTCAATTGTTTATTTAGAAAACTTAGGGGGTGCTTAATCCTTCTAAAAAGTTTTGTTCGTTGAGCAAAATGCCAAGGCGACTTGCCCCTTTGTTTTTTTACCTAGGAAGAATTCTTGGTTAAAGGAGCAAAATCAAAAGAATCTTGTTCGCTGTGTTACTAGATAAAATTTTGTATTTTGGTGTTGAGAAATGTTATGTGAAACAAGATATACAAAGCTAGCTTTTTGGTTCTTATTCTTCGATTGCATCTGGTCATATTGGACGTTGCCAAAGGCAAAAACAAAAAGTTGGTCTAGGTGTATCTTTCACCTTCTTTGAGAAAGAGCTGTAAGGCACCAAGCACGTCAAAATCCTAAAAAAAAAATTGCTTGCACCATCACCATGGTGTGCTTATGAATTTCAAACATTCATCTCCTAATATTGTATGGAATGTGGACTACAGGATCATATACTTGAGATACACGCGAAGAAGGTATTTGCATTCCGAGTCTTAAAACCCCAGAACCGTGCGCAGCCTTCTCCACAGCCCCTTCCCTGTGCAGCTCGCCTTCATCATTTCATCTCCACCTTTTGATTTAGACGTCATGACTCGATTCCTCCGGCTCTGCCTCATCTTCATGTCCCTCAGCTCCATCTCCATAGGAAACCTTCCCACTCCAAACACAAACAAGTTCCACCTTGACTTCACCGGAGTTGCTAGCATGGGCACTCCCTTTGCAAACAAATCAAACTTATCACCACATTTCCCGGCAGGAGTAGTCTTTTCTCCTTTCGATTTTGACTTTACTGGTTCCTGTTGCTTGCATCCTTCGTCGGGACTTTGACGTTTCTTCGTTACTGCTGGATCCCCGTAAGGAATGCGTTTCCCGCAGAACATGAAGTTATCTACAGGATAACTTGACAAAGCAGAGAAATGATCTCCACTGGAGAACTCGAAGGAATCTCGACTAGATGACAAGCTCTTCCCTACCTCGGAGACGTATTCATTCTCCTGACTCTCGCTGTTGATTACAAAATCACAGAAGGAAAGTGTTTCCTCCGCCTCATCTCCAAAATCCTCTTGTTCAGTTTCTCTAACTCCCATTTCCCAAGGATTTCAAAATGAGAAAACAATGGAAAGATAAGAGTTATGAAAGGAACTTGGGTACTGCGGATATATCTCTTACTTCAAAAATTTAAGTGTATATATAATACATTTGAAGGAAATCAAGAAACGAAGGAGGTAGCTTGGAAAAGAAGGGGGAGGGCTGTGGACTATGATAAGAATATTCTCAGCTCGTCTTCTAGAAAAGTAGCTATAAATTTTTTTTTTTTTTTTAAAAAGCCTTATTTTCTTTTGATAAGAATTAGTTCGTGAATGTCTTCGTCATTTTCCATTTATGTGTACTAAAGTTTAATGTTGACTCAACAATTACCTGTCGTGTGGGGCAATTTAAATTGAGCTGGGTCCGCCAAGAAATTGCTTTTCTCTTGGTTGGAACAACTGGACACAATAAAATTTTATTTGCAGTTTTTCTTCCAATAATACTATAATTATAATATTATATAAGATTTTAAAAATATAATTATAATATATTATTAAATAAATATATATTATTATAAATATATATTTTTTTAAACTCCATCATATAATTATCTATTAAAATTGTAAATTTATAATAAAATATATCATATTACAATATAATTATAAGGTTAGTGTTTATCTACTTTTTTTTTTATTTTGATTATACAATAAAAAGTAATTATTTTTCATTTTTTATTCTATCTCATCCGCATATCATGCGACTTAAATTCAAACATTTTACTTCTAACGGAAAGAAATAACTAATGGTCTATTTAGGTTGTTGGTATCTTATTTCTTAAAAATTAAAAAAATATATTTTAAAATTACATGTATTATAGGAAATAGCGCAAAAAAAACTTTAATTCATACTTTAAAAATAAAGTATTTTAATTTTTTTAAAATATTAAAATAATATAATTTTAAAATAATTCTTTTCATAATTTTTAAAAAATAAAGTGAATAAATATTATTTCTTATAATTATATATATATATATATATATATTTTTTTTTCTCTATCCTCTCCATTATGGTATGTCAGGGCAATTGGACTATCGCCTTAAGCGCCGAATGGTCCACTAGTCCAAGAGTCTACAACTTGCGTGGTCTCTTCACGATTTGTTAAATGATTTTGCAAAGAAATCTCCGCGCGATCGATTCTCAGGTTCCCTGAGTTCAGCATTTTGCCATTTGACTGAAAAATATTGAAGTTTCATCCTCTAAGCGTCCCACTTCTAAAGGCGGACCCAAATGAGTCGTTATGGCAACCTAGTCAGCGTAAAGCATGTTACTCTGATTCATTCTACCCCCTTAAACAAGTCCCTTTTTTGTGTGTGTGGTGGTTGAGACCCTGGTTTAGTCAAAATATGTTACTTCCGAGTAGTATCTAAATGGCTTTAGTTAAAGGATAGCCATGCAACCAACAGACTCATATGAAAAGCTTTTGCTCATGTTATTGTTAGCTATTTGTAACTCTGATTAACGAAATTTCATATTTTTATAAACAGAAATGAAGAATGGAGGACATGTATCTTACTTCTAACAGTTACTATAACTTTTAAAATTTTGTTTTATTGATGAAAAGCACACAATTTTATTTCCTAATTAAATTTTATGATATTTACATGATATAAAATAGATAAATGCACCTGACTCTCACAACTCAATGATTATAGGTCGGCTTGTAAAGTGTATCTCTTCATTTTGAGAGTTTGGGTTTAAATCTCTTTACTAACAATTTTTAACTCTGTTAAAAGAAAAATATAAATAAATATATAGTTACATGAGCATAAAAGGAAAATAGTTATTCATAATTTTTGTCGCGAAACCTTATTGTGATAAGGTAGTAGTAAAATGAATGAATGAATGAACTCATTGAATGAAAATAGTTATTTAGGATTTTTTTGTTATGAAACCTTGATGTGATAAGATTATAGTAAATTATTCTCACATAATTATGAATTTCTTGGCACTTGGCCGTGTGGTCCAGTGGTTAGAGCCACTGAAAAGTGTACATCCCCTCGAAACCGCCGATGACAAAACTGTTCAAAAAAAAAATTATGAATTTCTTGCACTTTCTGGACCATTTAAATTTGGAGTTCGGAGGCCTAAATGACTAATATCAGAAAGAAGCCCAGATATACCTGTGTTCAAACAAAAAAAGGAAAAAAGCCCAAATCAAAAGAAAGAAGACCAAATATGC